TTGCTCAATAACTTTGATGTCTCCCCCTCCCTTTTTCCCCCCCCCTCAACCAAATTTTTTCCCTAGTGGGTTTTTTTTGGGGGGGGGGGGGAGTTCAGTATTTTTGGTTAAACCATTTGGCAACTGTCCTGCTCCCCCTCCCCCCGCGACTGCTGGGTTATATGCAGGAGCTGGCTTGTTGGCAGGGACCAAGGGTCAGTGCATTTCCCTTCCTCTGCTGCATGGGACACACCCGACCGCTTGTCTCTCTCCCAGTCCATGCTCTAGGTCCCTCTGTCCCATCTGCCATACCTGCCCCTCCCTACTGCAATGAGCCCCGGCTGTTCAGTCTCCCCACAGAGGAGACCCCTGACCCCAGCTCTGCCCATCCGCACCCCCTGCTTCTGAGCCCTCACTTCTGCTGAACACTTGCTGGAGAGTGAGGAGAGCAAGGGGGAGGGGCACTGTACATGGTCTGTGGGGTGCACCCCACGGCTCCATCCACCATCAGGGCACATTCTCACAGGGGCCCCGGCCTGGCCCCCGTGACCCAGCACCGAGTCCGCAGTGACCCTGCCACACACTGAGCCCTGGTTTCCATGGAGCTGCCCTTGGCCTGTCCCTGCGCTGTGATGGTTCATGCAGACTCAGGAGAGGTGGGTGAGGGGTTCACATGGCTTCCCCCAGCCTCAGGGAACCTTGTACCAGCCTCCTGTCCCCCCCACCATTGGGCTGCCCATCCCACACCCCCTGACCATGTTTTTCATGATTTGTCCCCTGGAATCAGTTGATCCCTAGGTCCAGTTGTCCCTCTCACAAGGCTGGGGGAGGGGCTTTTAGAAGAGTTTCAAATAGACCCAGCCCACTCCTGTCCTGGAACACCCGAGGCAGCTCTGTGCCTGCACCCACCTGCCCTTCCACCACTACCCTGCTCCAAGATGGGAATAAATGTGTGAAACTTCCCCCTCGCCCCCCCACCTCCACTGCGCAGGACAGGCTTAGCCTCATGTCTCCCTGCTGCCAGGGAGAGACACTGCTGGGTGTTCCTCTTTGTCCCTGTCCACACTAGACCGGTCGCTGCAGCTGGCAGCTGCCTAGTTAGACATTAGTAGCTAATTAGTAACTAGCCTGGCTGCTCTAGCTACACAGGGTGAGGCCGGTTCCGTGATGCCCCTGCCCTGGGCAGACAAGGGCCGTGTCGACCCTACACTTGCAGGACTGTGCCGCTGGAGTGTTGTAATACAGACCCTGCAGCAATGGAAGGGGCGTCACTGTCACCATAGTTAATCCGCCCCCCTCCTCTCCCGCCCAGTGGCATTAGCCAGGTCAGTAGAAGAATTCTTCTGTCCCTACTCTGCTGTCCACACCAGTCGGCTGACCCAGGGGGCTCTGGATTTTTCACACACACTGATGCAATATAGCTGCGCCCATCCAAGTTTTAGGTGTCAGCCAGGCCAAGTCTCTGCCTCCTTCAGTTGGAGACAGGGTGTCCACACAGCCATCAGCCTGGCTTTAATGGCATGGGCTGATCCTCGTCCCCTCAGCCAAACCCGGGAAGCTGTCCCGCATCCACCAGCCCTCCGTGGTTCATTTCTACTGAGTCCCTGCAAACCTGCTCCAGGAACTGCCCCTCCTGCCCCATGTGTCCCAGAGCCAGCTGTTCCAAGAGGAGTTTGTTTGCTCAGCATGGTCCCAGAATGCAGATTTCACAATCTAGTGATAAAAATAAGGCCACAGCGCTGGGCACGAGCACACGCCCACGGGTGCAGAGGGAGGGGTCTCAGCAATGAGAGGCCTGTCGCACATCCTGCCCCCTTGGGTGCCTGCCCCATCTCCCCCACCTCCCAGCCTCGAATCGTCACACTGAGCTCAGCCTGCCTCTCTTGCTAGGGCCATCGCCTGCCCTAGTGCCTGGCCACGCTGCCCCGCAAGCTCTGTGCTGCTGGGAACATGGGTTTTCCCAGGCACCTCCTGCTCCCAGCTGGGCAACCCCATGGCAGGAGTTCAGCTGCCTGCTCTGGAGCTGGGTACACAAGGATCCCCATCCTCCTGGCCTGGCTGTGGGGTGAGTGGCCTTTTCCCTTTGCTCTGGCTTTGAATAGCCCCGTGGGCAACCTGCTTTCCTCCAGTCCCACCCATCAGGCACAGCATAGCTGTGTCCTGGGAGCCGGGACTCCTGGGTCTGAAGGGAACCAGTGGTTAGAGCTAGTGGCTGGGAGTCAGGCCTCCTGGGGTCTATTCCTGCCATGGGAAGGAGAGTGGGGGCTAGTGGTTAGACCAGGGGGGTAACAGCCAAGATTCCTGGGGTCCATTGCTGCCGAAGGGGAGTGGAAGTGAGCAGTTAAAACAGAGATGGTCTCAGGACCTATCTAGGGTTGAGAAGGGGAATGAGGGCTAATGGCTGGAGCTTGGAGCCAGAACTCCTGGGGTCTATTACTGCTGTGGGAAAGAGAGTGGAGATTAGTGGTTAGAACAGGGGGCTGGGAGCCAGTACACCAGGGGTCTATTGCTGCTGTGGGAAGGGGAGTGGGAGCGAGTGGTTAACACAGAGATGGTTCCAGGATCTGTCTAGGGCAAGGGCAGGCAGTAAACAACCCATGGGCAGTACACAGCTTGTCAGGGTTAGTCCCTGATGGTCTGCCAATGCTCTATTTACCTTCATGTCTGCAGATTAACTGCTCGCAACTCCTATTGGCTGGGTTTTTACATTCCTGGCCAATAGGAGCTGCAGGACGTGGCATGGGGGGGCCATTGGCTTCCCATTGTCCAGGAACAGCAAACCACGGCCAAAGGTTGCTGCCAGCAGCCGTACCTGCAGACGCACAGATACATAAAGTATCTGGTATCTCGCCAGGGGCTAGCCCTGGTGACCCGTGTCTGGCGAGAGGGCTGATTATTTCCCACCCCATCTAGGTGTACGTACAATTTTCCAATAACTTTAGTGTCATTTGTTAAGTTTCAAAAGAGTAAAAAGAACCTGGGAAGTCAGTGAATCCTGGAGGTGTTTCCCAGCCACCCTGGGCTGGTTTCTTTGGGATCATGGGGCGTCGGGCTGGGAGGACACGTCATACAATCACACACTTATCAAGCGTCATCTTCACGCATGTTAGGCTGTTTTCCCTCCCCCGTTAGGAGGCTGTTCCCGACCCCCCTTCTCATTTCCAGCCTAATGTGACTCCTGGACGGTTTGTCCCCAGTAGCTCTTGTGCCAACACTGTTCTTTGGCTTCAGTGGTTCTTCTCTCTCCCCGGGGTTCCCTGACGGGGTCCTACAGAGCAGTCAGGTCCCCGCTCAGCCTGCGCTGTGCCAGCCAAACCCGCTCCTCTCTTACGACCACCCTCCATCCTCCAACCCCCAGCAGCCCTTCTCGGCCCCTGGGCCCGTCAGAATCCATCCGGCCTGCATGTGCGTGGCCAGAGCTGCACACCGGCTCCCAGACGATGTCCCTGAATTTCCGAACACAGTGGTGAGCAATCTGCAATCCGGAGTTCTATGTGTGGCCCACGAGATATTTTGTTTCCTGTTGCCCAAGTGCAGAGTTGCTAGAGTCTGATGGTTTCCGTCCACGTCATTTTTTCTAGTGATGTTACTAAAGTGACACGCTGGATTCCCATGCCCAGGTCGGGTATCCCCAGTGTGCAAAAGAGGTTGGTGAGTTGGAGGGGCTCAGAGCAGAACCCCAGGAATTACTGAGGGACCAGAAAACCCACTTCATCGGTGTCGCTAAAGAAAGAGAAGGCCAAGGGTGACCTGAGCCCAGTCTCTAAGCACCTGCGCGGGGAACACGCAGGTTTAACAGGATCAAGCATGGTAGGTGAAGCTAGACACATTCAGGCTGGAATGAGGCCTTTACCAGAGATTCTCCAACACTGACACCATTTACCAAAAGATGGGCTGTTTAGCTAAATACTCCAGACTGGCATGATTTTCCACAAATACTTTTAATGGAAAAGTTTTTCCGTTAAAAGCATTTGCGGAAAAGAGTGTCTAGATTGGCATGGATGCTTTTGCACAAAAGCACTTTTTGCAGAAAAGCGTCCGTGCCAATCTAGACGCGTTTTTGCGCAAGAAAGCCCCAATCACCATTTTCGCCATCGGGGCTTTTTTGCGCAAAACAGTCCTCCCCTGTCTACACTGGCCCTTTTGTGCAAATCCTTAGGCTTATCCCTGAGTGGGAGCATCATAGTATTTGCGCAAGAACACTGACAATCTTACATGAGATCGTCAGTGTTCTTGCGTAAATTCAAGTGGCCAGTGTAGACAGCTGGCAAGTTTTTCCGCAAAAGCGCCTGCCAGTCTAGACGCAGCCTAGGATAGATCTCAGGCCTGGGCTATACAGCAGTCAGAGAAGATGCCTGCAGTCCCCTTGGCCTAGGAATCTCTGGCTCTGTAACCCCCCGAAGACTGACTGAACCTTTCCCTTGGCCCCTGCCCCTGTGCGGGGTGCGCGGGCTGGGCAAGTTTTGCGGAGCCCATTGACTCTCACAAGGCTGCAGGTACACTTTGCACTGAAAGTTTCTCCTGTGATCTGAGAGGAGCACTGCTGGACTCCACACCTGGTGAAGAATTCATGCCCTGGAATGAGCGAGTCACATCGATTCATTGTGTACTTACTAGCCACAGAGAAATCCAAGCCACCTACTGTCCCGGCTTCTTGTGCAAATACCAGCGGTCCTATTTGCAAACCCAATTTCCCCCATTTTTGGAACGATGCTCATTCCTCAGGTAGAGGGTACATCTATACTGAGCACAGAGCCGGCTGTGTGTGAGAGGGGTGATGTGTTACAAAACGCACTAAAGAGCGGCACTCAGACTGCCCTGTGCTGATGCTGCTGACCTGAACAGACCTGTCTGAAAGAGGACTATGGTAACTATGCCCCCCCCCATATACTGAGCAGGCAGGGGGAGTTCAAACACAGTACCTGCCCCCCTACACACACACACACAATGGGAAAAGCTCTAGGCTGAGCTGTCCCAGAAACATCCCCCCACACGCTGCCTTGAGACCTGCTGTGCAGTGAGCTGTGACTGCCCCGGACTGGGGGGGTCCAGCAGCCCCTGAGCCAGGCAGATGACTGCAACTGGCTTGGCAGAGGTTTACCTGACCCTGTCCTGAGGCAAGGCCCTGTGTTAGCCGTGTACGGCCTGGACAAAGGCAGCCCCACCTCACAGCAGGTCGGGCAGGCCAGAGCTCAGAGGTTGAAGGGTTTTTCTTTTCTCGATTTCTCTCCCTTTCAGTTGACTCTTGGCTACAGGGGCTGAGAACACACTGCCTGGTGACTAGCACTCGGCTGGGGCAGTCACCAGTGTGGGCGGTGGGTCTTGGCCACTCATGAGAGCGTCTGGGGAAAAACATCTAGTGACCTTCCGAACCAGGCTCTGTTAGGCGGGAAGATGTGGGGGCTAGCGCAAAAAGAGAGAAAAAAAGTGGGAGAGGCTGCACACTGTTGTGATAATTTGTGTGGAACGTCAAGGGAAGCCATAACCCGGTGGAAGGGACATTGCCCTCATCACACTCCCCATCTGGGGCAAGGAAACCAAAGCCCCAAATGTCAGCGCTCCAGAGAAGAGAATGTTACTGTTAAAAGTGTGTTGGTTTGTACCTTTACATAGTGGCTACGTCTACACTGGCATGATTTTCCGAAAATGCTTTTAACGGAAAAGTTTTCCATTAAAAGCATTTTCGGAAAAGCGCATCTAGATTGGCAGGATGCTTTTCCGCAAAAGCACTTT